ACTTTTAGTTCGACCAGTTCTTTGAGAAGGTATCAACGCAAATGCTTGTTCTTTACTAAAGTTATATCCTTTTTGAAAACGATCGCGAGCCTGACGTCTTTTCTCTTTATCACCTGGTAAGAGCTCAAGTATTTCTGGCACATACCAGCTAAGCTCTTCGAGACTCATTTCATTGGTGAGTTCATGGTCTGTAATGAACTTGGTTGTAATAGCAGACATGTTGTGGTAAGTAAACTATAGTGGTAGTTAGATTAATCTGTGGTATTCAGATTATATATTGTGGGATAAAGTTCAATTCGAAAAAAAATATTCCGACAATTCACTACACCATGGTCGGCGAAAGATATTGGAGGATTGGAGAAAGGGAAAGAATGATATAACTTCTGTGAGGAGTCTTTTTGTGGCCACGAGCTCCAGCCGGGATATCTTTTATATATATTTGAAAATTGCGGGTAGCTAGGATATGTGAAAAAAATACATAGTCATGGAACCCCCATTCCAAGGCTATGAACAAATTATCTGTATCGATTCTCATTTTAGTAAAGTACTCACGTTAGAACTAATATTTGTTCCGGTCCTAAAGCATTTGTCTTAGTGAATGCGTCATATAAAGCACCCGGTCTATATTTTGATAATGCTAAATTCGGGTGATGGAGGAATTTCATGAGTACGTTATTCCTCTAAGCTTTTGTCTCTTCGCACTCCCAAGTTATTCCTATTAGCATAGATAAGTTGGGATAATCTATTTGTATTAGATTCTGCAATGAGGATCACTTATTTTTTTCGAGAAAAAATAGACTTATTCCTCCAATGACAGCAGACTCCACACTAATAGCAAAGTTTTCACGAATATCTACTTTATCCGCTAAAATAGATAGGGGTGGAATTAAAGCTGGATAATAGAAGTCAGCTAAGGGGTCTAATTCAAATTCGCCGGCATTCATTGTTCCAATATCCTCTAAATAATCTGAAAGTCGATCAGTATATCTGAACCCTTCATGAATCAGCTTTTGGAATAACTTCCCATTTGGATCGATCTATCAGCCGGTTAGTAAATTAAGTACTGTTCTATACATGGTTATAACGTTAGTATGAAAAGACGTTTATGTCTTATCTTAATACTGAATAATTTAAATACACATTTTATTATGAAATAAAAGTGAAAAAGGTTTTCATATCCTAAAATACTTACATGGATCGTGTTACTTGTCTGCATATCAAGAAAGATGGTTCCATTTGTGGAAGAGTCTGTACTCGCACTACTGGCTGTGCAAGACACTGGGTATTACACGAAAAAAATATGGAAAAAAAACCCTGTCTTGTTTGTAGATTCCCCACCGCTTCTACTACAGGGTGTTGCCCCAAACACTCTGCTAAGTTCCATGCACATAATTATCGAATGAGACAGAAATACATAGCCGAAACTGGGACTCTTCAGCTTGCAAAACCCTCTGAATTATCGGATGAGATCCCTTAACCTACAGAGACTTTTGAATTATCGGATGTGACCCTTCAACCCAAAATCTATGAAGCTCTGGTTTCTGAGTCGGATGATGAGGATATAGGTCTTGACCCATTTGGGGATTAGTGATTAACTCGTAATTCAGAGCATTAGGAATCCCTTTGAATTATCTGCCAGAAAGTAAGCAAAAAAAAATATTATATAAAATAATAGCAAAAGAATACCATAGCAGATAGTATAAATTGAGGGTAGCCTTCTGCGTATTCTATTATATAAATATTGGCAGATGGCTACCCCTATTAACATATATCGAATAAATCTTGAGTTTCTTCTGTAATTTACGCGTTATTTATTAAACCAGGATCGAGAAATGTTTTGCTATCTTCCTCTAATAATAATTCATCAGTAGTGAGTTTACTATAAGCATATCGGATATCTTCTCCATTATTCCAATATACCTCTTCCCCAGTCTGATATAAAGGTAACTTGGGAGCATCCTCACCATCAAATGAGCCAACCAGGTGATATTGTGTACGTTTCTTATTAGTAGCTTTAAATTTCAGCCCATATGTAGCATATAGTGCTGAATTTAATAAGCCAAGTTTCGCCTTATCTGTTTTTAATCCTGATTTTTTAGCTCTACGTGAAGCATCTGTATTATCGAATACTCTAGCCATTTTGGAAACTAAATCCTGAAGATGTGATATCGATTCAGGAGAATCTATATGCACTTTAACATCGTCAGCTTTATATCGCACCCTATCGTCAATGTCTTTAGCAGGTGTACAAATCTTTAGTAATTCCAGGCAAATTCGATGCCTCTCAGCTCGAGTGGCTACAGCGAGTTTATCATCCCTATAATCTTTACGGGAAATAGCCTCAACAGCTGTTTCGTTATCAGTACCAGCATCTCGTAACTGCCTATAAGCTCTAAACCATCTCATATGATTATAATCCCCATATTTTGAAATGAAATCTTCAGTCAATGATTCAGGCGAAATCTCATAACAATCCACAATATGATGTCGGTCTAAAGAGCGTATCTCTTCTAAAGTCTTTCTTGGTTTATTCTCTAATAATTCGGCAGTCTCACGATCAACAATAGTAGCATTAGATACATCTGCTATCTCCTCTGCTTTAATGGTAGAGGAACATGCCTTCACTGTTTGGAATAACGAAATCGTAATATCTTCAGGTTTAGGAATGAGTTCCATAACAGAAATTACCATACCTACCTCTCTGAGAAAATCGACCATTCTCCAACCAAATAATCGCCAGGAACGGAATTTCTCTAACATGAATGCCACCCATAATCGAATAGTTGGTATATCTTTATTCCGGATAATAGAGTCTATATCTGGAAAAATTCCTCTATTCTGAAGCTCTCGGGGAAGACATTCACGTTTGGCATTCTACAACCATCGAAATAACCCTTCTTCTGTAACGGGAACATTAGACGATCTTTGCTCAATATGACATATATAATCCTTAATGCATCGCATGCGAAATAACATCTGATTTGTTCCAGCATTTGTTTCTATATAGCTATTAAAGAGGCAGAATGCCCGCTCGAACTTTGGGTTAGTGCAAGATACTCCTATTTTTAGAGTACTTGTATATGCAACTAAATCTATATCCATCCATGATTCTTCAACGTTACTGAAGTCATGGGCCTTTTCTACCGGATCGGATTTACCGTGATATTCCTTGATACGTAATTCTGGAAAATCAGTCTTAAGAGCACGAACGATTCCTTGCACATCCTTCCTGAGATGGCAGATAAGCGAAGCACTTGTTCGTTTTTCAGAAGGTAGTGAAGATATTTGCCTAGCCCAATCCCAAAGTTCGACTAACACAGTTTCTTTATTAGGAGCCAAGCGGAATGTTTTACCATTCTGAGGCTGGTAAGTATTATGAATAATAGAGAAAGCTATATCCTTGCGAAGGGCCTTAATCCATTCGATATTAAGGTCGGTTAGATCATTATTCATGACGATAATGCGTCTTGCGTCTTGGACCAATTTATATAACTTTTCTATCGATTGCCTGGCTAAATGACTTTGTGCTTGAGCAATTATAGATACTATTTCATCGAGCCATAAGTCATATTGGCTCGGAAGGCATTTGCATTTTTTATTACATTTACAATTATTAGTAATTCGATGCAAGCTCTCTATCTGACACACTACCCTTTTATGATCGGAGAGATTTATGTTGCCATCAATATCGCAATATGACTTAAGATTAAGTCTTGTAGTAACAGCGTTCGAATAAGAGTGACGCGTAGATAATACAAGCAGATTTATATTATCAGGAATAGCCAAATTTTCAAGAATATATGTTTTTCCTGTTTCCCAAGGTGACCCTACATATATATCGCCTTCATTGGGTAATGGTCTTACATATCTCTCCTCATACGTTTCTGTTGCTGAAAGGGGTTCATTATACTTGACCCAAGATGGGAATTTTACAAAGGCTTTAGGGAAACCCGGAACCTTTACCTTGTGAGAGGATTGCGGAGATTTTTTATTTTCTTGCTGAATTTTTTCTGCAATAGATGGGTCGCATTCAAAAACTTCCCCTCGCTCATCACTATTTTGCCGAAAGCATTTTACGATGAACCTTCCATTACTAGCGCATACACGGCCGAACCACCTCTGATCCTTGTCATGTATACGTTTGCAGAGTGGACATCCTAGTGGAGCTTTCCGGTTAAAATATACGAAGTTTTCTGAGTCCTTTTCTTCAATAGTCCAATCCCTAAGATAGCTAGAATGTTTTTGTAAAACTAGTTCTGCGTATTTTTGTAATACATCCTGACCCACGGATATTCTTAGCGGATTGTTATTTTTTTCTATGCTAAGCATTCTAGGTCTTACTTCAAGTCCCAAACTAGGAGGTGGTTGAACTCTAGTATGATCAAGCTCATTCCAGCCATTGTCTAGTGAAAACTGGAGGATACGCTTTACGCGACCTTTTTTTGCCGAACCAATAAGGTGAAGATTGAAGTTATGACCAGGTAAATTCTGATCAATGAACTTACCGAATTTTTTCCCAGTTAAGGTATATACTAATTCTAAGAATGATTTGAGTTCGTGATGATCGATAAGGAGAGCCGGTGCATATAAAATATGGTAGCTACACTTGCTAGGGTCTGATGATGTAGTAACTATTAACCCTTTGAGAATGTCTTC